CCAAAAAGCAAGCAACGCAGTCAGTAATTGCCAAATTTGCAAGTGCTCATTTTCAACTAAAATCGGAACAGGCAAATTAGGACGAATTTCAACAGAAAACCAGTCTCAAACTTCAAATCACGAGGGAAGTCGTGCGACCACATTAGGATTTATATTATGTGTGCTTCGCTGTCGCCATTGGCATTGTTATAAATAAATTGTCTCACTTATCAGATCGTGTGTGCAATTCTTGTTGGCGGCGGAAAGTACGAAATTTATTTAATTTGGTAAAGAACTCTACAAAAGAAGAGAGCGTTCCGAGTCCAGATCGTTTCGTTTCGTTTCAAACGGCAATTTAATACCGCCTTTAGCCTGCATGGCAGGCGGTACCGGTAGGAAATACCTTCCCTAATTTTCGCTGCCCGTAGAAATACCGCCTGCCATGCAGGCTATACCGCCTTCTGTTTCGCTCTCTCAGCGAAGCCTTGTAAATCGCAAAGTCAGTTTCGAATAGGCTTACAGTCCTTACATGCAACTGCATCTCAACATCAACCAAAAGATAATTTTCTTGAGGAAGTGAGAACACATAACGTATCAACTGAAGTCTAGCTGTTTGAAATTAATGAAACTCAAGTAAAGGTTACTATAGTTTACCCCAGTCGTAATTTGCTATTCCAACACCTCACGACAAGCAATCCCCATTGGCATAACGGCAAACATGTCTTCCTTCAAGTAAACAATAAACAGTCTGTTCTTGTTCATTTGTAATCGAAAAAAGTGATCAATTTTCAAATTTTAAGCTTATCGAGAGCCTTTGTCTATGCCTTTGTGATGAATCACTGTTCCCTTGGGCCTGCATGCTAGGTTAATTAATTACCGATCGCCTCAGCTAGCCAATGGGAATTTAGCCGGCGGTTCGGCCGGCGAAAATCGAAAACATGGGGTGATGGTTGCAGGCCCACTATCCATAGGCGTACGGGGCGGGGGGGCAGGGGGGGCAACTGCCCCCCCCCCAAAAATTTTGAGAATCAAGCCATTCGGGCAAGGGATTCACCCAGATTCGGGCAAAAAAGGATTATGTAACTTGATAGTTAAATAATAGCAATAGCGCATATCCTTAACTTGGCACTGCAAGACGCAGTGAGTGATGTGCAACCGCTCCGAAATGCACTAGGGACATTACAAATGTGTATAATTTCTTGGAGGTAAGTCCAAACGCCATGCCGTGTTTAATTCTGTTAAGATAGATGGTGATCACCTTGTTCTCACACTAAAATCTTTGAGTGAAACGAAATGGTCCTGCAGACATGGGAAGCAGTAAAAGCAGTCACCGAGGAAATGCCGAAAATTATCAAAGCTCAAAGCTCTTCTCATTTTAGCAAAGGATAAGGATACTATTAAGTCGTACATTGACAGCGTCGCCATTTTGAGCGTCATTTGTGATTTTGAATTCGTATTTGGCTTGATTCTTCTGAAGGTGGTGATTTTATCAAAAACAAGCAGTCTAAGTAACTGTCTACAAGGGAAAGGCGTCGACGTTATCACTGCATGAAATAAATGTTGATCTCACGATCAACACGCTCCGTAAATGTCGCAACAAAAAGAATTTTGAACTCTTGTGGGAAAGAGCACAGATCATGTCCAATGAAATGGAAAGTGCTTTGGGAGACGTTGTGCTAAACGACTCACTTTTAGAAAACAGCTTTGATATTGTGGCAGAGTTTTACAATGTCGATAGGAGTCTTTTTGAAGTCGAGAAAAGTCGACTATGCGACTTATTACCTGTATTATACAAGGCAGCAAACATTCTTGCATCGATGCCTGCTACATCATGTACCGCTGAAAGGTCATTCCGGCAGTGGATTTCGGCGCGTGAAAACCTACCTCCGCTCGACAATGGACGAAAACGCTTGAATTATATTGCTGTCATTAACATTGAACGAGCATATGCTAACCCAACTATTAAGAACGACATGGTTAAAATAATTGATACTTTTGGTAGACGAAATGGACGAAATAGCTATTTCTTCTAAGTGAAACCTCTTAGCCAGGCTTCCAATTTAAATGTTGAATGCACTTGTTAAAATATAGATAATTCATTTGTAAAATCAAATAAAAGTCTTATTATAAAAATTCGGGCACTTTTTGTCATCAGCTTAAAAATTCGGGCAAATTTTGTTTGCCCCCCCAAATAAAATTGTGCCCGTACGCCTATGCCACTATCAGTTCCCTTTGGGCCTGCACGCAGGCTAGGGTGTGAGGGGGTTCTCCGCCAGGCGATTGTGCTATTCTTGCAGCTCGATGACTGCATATTTCTTGCGTTTTCTGAAGCAAATTCGTAAAAGAATTGCACTAACATTTCTGACAATTCGCTATTTCGCCAAGGCAATCCTTTAAATTGAAAGGGCACCTTTGCCCCCCTTGCCCCCCTTGCCCCCCTTGCCCCTCCTGGTAACTGCCAATCTCGTACCCAGAGCAATGCCTGTGCGCGGGCTAGGATGGCATTGGCTCTGGGGAAATTGAATTTTTCCTGTGCTGTGATTGGTTTAATGTTTATCAATCGTGCATGCCGACAAAGAACTGGAACCCCTAAATTTAGGGGTTCCGGTTGTCAATTTCCACAGAGCCAATGCCATCCTAGCCCGCGCATAGGCATTGCTCTGGGTACGAGATTGGGTAACTGCGACCTGCAACCTTCTACCGTCATGCTTAGCGGGCAGAACGGTCAAACCAGTGCTTCCATTTTCAAGGAAATTTCCTTTTCTAAGGAAATTCTACTGTCGAAAAGGAAAATCTAAGGAAGAGAAAAGATCTAAGGAAATCTAAGGATTTTTCCGAAAAACTTTATAAATATTCATCCAAGCACATTAGTGAAGAAGAAGGTTTCACTATTTTTTGAATTTTTGAGTGATTTATCAATTATCTTTAATTAAAAATCTGTTTTTAACCTTTTCCTCGTGCTTTCGAAAATTTCCGAAAATTTTTGAGCGATGTGATTGAGTAACTTTTGGCGCCAAACGCTGTGAATAGTTTATTAATCATATCAATGTAAACATATCTCTTGTAAATTCATAACAAATATTTAATTTTAAATAGTATAATAGCCTGTGGTTGTTAGCTTGCCCACATCTTTGTTAAATGTGCTATTTTGTGCCTTGAAAATTAATTAAATCCTTTGTATTGCTACAAAATCACTGCAAACTGCTTCATGAAATTTCAAGGAATTTTCAAGGAAATAACATATACAATCTAAGGAATTTAGAGAAATTTTGATGACAAAAATGAGAAATTTTGATTTTAAAAATGGAAGCACTGGGTCAAACGACATAAAATAATATATTTGATTCAGAGAATCAGAGATTGGAATTGATTGTCATGCAAAACGTAAATAATAATGGTGCCGGTTTAATTTGTTTTATCTTGTTGTACTACTATATGTTTTACTGTTCAAGGAGATCTTTTGTCTTTTGACCTCGCAGAGTCGCAGTAATTCTGCGTGTTTCTTCAATCAAAGATTACTTCAATCAAAGTCAAAGATTACGATCACCGGATTCACCGCCGTGCTGAAAAATGTTTCTTTAAAGGTAGTAGATCATATACTCGATTACTGATAATATACAGTACAACGTGTTAGAGTCAACTGATACAAATGTTATGATGTCCTGAATGTCCACGGGGCTCGATTCAGTGTGACTTAGTATTTGGTGCTCAAAGTCACCATGGGAATATTTGCACGAATTCGTGGCTTCTTCGCTTCCTGTATTCGTCCGTCAACATCAAGCAGTTTAAATAATGAAGAATATAGCAGATTACCGGGACCAAGCGTTGATTCTTTACCAAGCAACTCTTCCAAACAGGCACCATCAACATCAACGGCTGGTTTAAACTATGATCAAGTCTCAAATGATTACACTTCAAACAGGGTGAGAAAACCTGTTTATAATAAAGCAAGCATTTCACAGCATGAAAGCAGTACAGCCACTACAGCAAGCCAACCTAACATAAAACCACCTTATTTCTTACAAACTTTCATATCTAGTCTCAATTCATCACAGAAAGGAAAACCGTGTTTTACACCAGTGAGTGATGTTGTATATTTTAATGAGTGGACTGCATGCACAGCTATAATCTTGGATGAATCCTCTCACCGATTAAGTCCCCAACACACATTGGAACTATCCAGTGATTCTCATGTTGAATTCCGTGATTGCAAGCTACAAGATGGCTGCCTTCAGTTCAGTATGAAAGCTTGTAATGCAGAAACTATTACAATATTTTTTCATATCCAAAAATATGCAGATAGCTTCACACTTAGCAAGAAAATCTGTGTTAGATACGACCCTTGTTCAACTGTCCAAGCCGAAATGACAATCAAAAGAATTAACGAATCATCATCTGGATCAAATGAATGTGTATTTCAAGTGTCTATTATTGATGTTTGGGGAGTTATAGTCTCACATGAATCTTGTAAACTTGAAATCCTTTCATCAGGTGAAAATGAGGTGATTCAGAAGAAGCGAATGCATTCGGAAGCAGGACATATTGATTTTGAAATAACATTGAGGGGAAAAGAACCTTGGTCGAAAGATTTTGTTTTAATTTTCAATGGACAACCTATCCCTAATGCAGAGAAAATTGAAGTATTTGACAAGTTGAGAGGACTATGTTGTAGAGCTTTGGAAGGCAATGAGTATGAATCTATTCCTGATTTCATAGAATTTTATGGCTCTCATATATTTATCCCTTTATCAATTGGATATGATGATGGAAAATTTCTTCCTTACAATGAAGATAATTGTGAGTTACTGCCAGGAACTTGCCAAATTTTGTGTAGAAATGCAAAAAGAGATGAGATACTGGGTTCTGGCTTTGCCCATGTTAATAAAATTGCACAAGATCTGCAACTTAGAGAGCCCCCAGACATCCATGAAATTCAAGCTGAAAATATTGTTGTCATAGACCTATGCAATGTCCACCCAAATCGTTACAATATGTGTAAAGAAGTTGTTCAACATCTTCTTCGTGGTTTATATTATCGAAAGAAAGCTTCAGAAGCGGCTGCAGTTCGTATGGAATGGAAGAACAGAGTTGCCACCCTTAGTAAACTCTTAGGTGCTAGTCCAAGCATGAGAGTTTGCAGGAATTTTAGAGATCACTTTGGCAATCTAATGAATCGTTACAATCGTGAAGCTTGTGATGAACTGTTTACATTTTTTAATTTCCACCGAGATGTAAGTGAGGTAGACCTTCATGGTTTATATGTTGCAGATGAGAAGAAGTTGGAGATGCTGAGATTGGATTTATTACGAGGATTGGGAAATGATAAAGAGATTAAGAAAATAGTTCAACAGAGCAAGTTGGAGAGTTTTAATGGTCAAGGTAAACAAGCATTGACCAATGAGTTGCTCAGTGGAACATGTTCTGCTTATAAAGTCAAAGATTTCATAAAATGTTGTCGAGATAGCGGCATGAGTCAGAAAAAATTGAAAGTCCTGGAAAAAGACTTGGTAAAACGAAGTGAACGTAGGAAAGAAGTGGATGAAATCATTAAAACATGCAGAGCTGAAGGTGATGAAGCAATTCGGAAATTGAAAGTAAAATTGGAGAATTTTGATCTTCCAAAAGCAATCAAGAATAGCACACCCTGGCTTGAGATCATAGTTGGAGCTGGTCGTCACAGTAGAATAAAGAATGAACAAAATATCCGACCAAAAGTGGAGAAACTTCTCAAAGAAAGAAATCTTCAGTTTACTGCTGTGAACAAAGGATCACTTGTAGTCACGTTTCAAACCTACAGTGGTCCTGAGCCTTGTTTTGGAGAATATTATTGTAAGAAATGCGACCGATCTTGGAAAAGCAGTAAAAGTTATGTTGGAAAGTATCAGAAATGTGCCCACTGCGAGGTGAATTGTTGGCCAGTCAAACAACGAGAAAAAGAGAAAGTTGTAAATTATCATCATGATGTTGCTGTGGCACGTCAACGTAAACCTCACCAATCAAGTCGTTACCAGAAACGTCAGAAATTAGACCGTCCTTGCAATGCTGGTGAAGAGGAATGTGTTATTATATAGCCACAGGTACACACAATATACTGTATATATATATATATATATATATATATATATATATATATATATATATATATATATATATATATATATATATATATATATATATATATATATATATTTATATATATATAATTTCGCTTACCTCAAAATTCCGCAACAGTCTGTTTCATGATTCTTTACTGATGAAACAGACTGTTGCGGAATTTTGAGGTAAGCGAAATTCTACATTTGCTCTATCTTTATGATATTGAGCACTCTTTGCGTGTCGTATACACAAACCTACTCGTATATATATATATATATATATATATATATATATATATATATATATATATATATATATATATATATATATATATATATATATATATATATATATATATGACATAGAAGTATTAGGGAGTGACATTTAGACTGAGTATTCCTTAACACTAGATGGAAGCTCGTGTACACAAACTAAAACACTACAGAGTAGTAGACAATCTCATTCCCCATGCCTGCGATCCTTGGGAAGGAACATGAGGCTCTGGGATAATCCGTTGCCGGAAACCAGGAATCCTGGCTAAGATTGAACTGCGCATTCCATATCAATGGCCAATCAGATTCCTCCTAGAAACGGATTATCCCAGAGCCTCATGTTCCTTCCCGAGAATCGCAGGCTCGGGGAACGAGATTGAGTAGTAGAGTACACGCACAGTACATGTTTCAGATGATGATGGAATTTTTGAACAAAAATTTAATTAAATCATATTTACTCATTTAAACACCACCCCTGATTAAGTACTGCATATGAGAGCAAAGTATGGAATATTGGAATATGAGCCATACTTATTTGCAACAACGCATGTGTCATTCTTCAACCAGCAATGAGATCAGATCAACCGCGGAACAGCCAATATTAGACGGTCTTGACGTATACAAGAACGTAGCAACACCGCAATTAAACTTTAATTAAATAATGTACAGATGTAATTTTAATCTCAGTGTTCTGAAGAAGGCTCAAAGTACCGAATCGAAAGCTCAATAAAAGTATATTTCAATCCGGAGAACTTTAATTAATTATAATATGCCTGGATTACAAATCTTTAATATATATATGCACGCTCACTGCTTGCAGTTTGAGCGCTCTGGCATGGTTTTGATGTCCCACAATCGCAAGGCATCAAAGGTAACTGTAAATAGCAGTTACCTTCATCCTGCTCATCAGCACTACCCTGATGAGGCCCATAAGGCCGAAACGGTACCGTCTGTAGTTATATATATATATATATATATATATATATATATATATATATATATATATATATATATATATATATATATATATATATATACACTAAATGAACAAATATTTGTTTGTCAAAATATTTGTTTGACAAATATTTGTTATATATATATTTGTTATATATATATATATATATATATATATATATATATATATATATATATATATATATATATATATATATATATATATATATATATAACAAATATTTGTCAAACAAATATTTTGACAAACAAATATTTGTCATTTAGTTCCCACAACCCTAACCAGAGTAAACGAGCTGTTGTTAAAAGGCTACTTGATCGTGCTAAAAACATTCCCTCAACAATTTCAAACCAAAGGAATGAGCAAGAGCGTGTTATGAAAGATCTAGCACTCAACAGACCTCTCAACCCACTGAAACACCTAACAGACTAAACAACAATCCCTTAAGTTTTACATGCATTCCCTACATAAGAGGCGTTTGGTTTACAAACAGTGCTCAATACCATATAGATAGAGCGTAATATAGTTTTTCGTTTTACCTCAAAAAACCGCAACAGTCTGTTTCATCTGTATAGACCACCTGATGATTCCTATATACGGATGAAACAGACTGTTGTGGTTTTTACAGGGATGGATCCAGCATGATCTGGTAGGGGGGGGGTGCAAATTTTTTTAGGGACCCCTATTTAAAAACATTTTCCGGAAAAAATTTTTTTCGGAGAACAATGACCTCTCCCCGTCGACAACTTTTTAGGCAAAAAAAGTTTTCCGGACAAGTACGTTGCAATTACCAGTGACTTTACCCGTCTATCACTTGTTCCACTACTGCAAAGTCTTGCTTGACTACAGTATTTGAATTGTAATTGCTGTTCACAGTTCGCTTATCATCATGTTATTACTCAAATTACTGAATCTCATTTTGTCTCTAATAATTTTTTTGCTTTTTGTATCGGCTTTTATTCTCATATATAAAAAACAATTCCTGCACAGCTTCTACACCCGAAACAAAAAGTTCAAAAACCTCCGAACTAAAAAATTCATGATGATTAATGTTGTACGATAAATAAACACGTGCTGGTTGTTTCAAATGATTCCGTTAATTAAAGGCACAGTTCAGCCTTTTGAATGATGGTTTTTAAGGCATATTTCAGCCCTTTTAATTGAAAAAGTTAAGTAGGAAAATCAATTAAGCATAATTCAAAATCAGCAAACTTAATGTTTTTAACATTTTAAAACATTTTATTGTTAAAAGAGGGCCCTCTATACCTCTTCACAATATGCTTTCACGTAAAAATATTTTGCCTTTTCACGAGTCACGGATTAAGAAAATCGTCGATCACGTTTCACGGCTAAGTAAAATAAGCCCTTTACGCTTCACGCAAAAAGTATAGGGGGCCCTCTTAAAAACATTGAGTTTACTGAACTTAGATTATGCATAACTAATTTTCCTAATTAGTTTTTTCAATTAAAAGGGCTGAAATGCGCCTTAAAAACCATCAAAACTGAACTGTGCCTTTAAGGAGCAAAGAAACAAAAGTTTCATGATGGCTCATTGTTGATGTATAGCATTACATGCCTTATTAAAGAAAACGAAACATCTCAAAAACGAACAATGAACATAAAAATCTGTGAAAGAAGTTACCAAACAGTTTCGTGTCATATGTTCAGTTTAATTACTTTAAACCACATTCATTTGCTGCTATTTCAAAAATTGAATCTTCACTAAAATATTCATATTTTTTACAATGGATGCTAGAAATTTCAAAAGTCATCGATGACCAGTGGTCATGTTATATTTACTCTATAAAGTTATTCCTTAAAGCCAAAGTTATTGCATGTTCAGGATATCCATTTAATAGTCAGAGTCGTATGACAATTATCCTCGTTGCAAGGGAGTCATAATTCCTGACATAGGGCTTGATTCATGACGTTTTGGCTGGCGTTTTACAGACGCAGGTATTTTACTAGTTTCTCTTTTTCTCGTTGTTTGACTGGCCAACAGCTGTCTTTGCAGCGAGAACATTTCTGATATTTCTCAACATAACTTTCATTGCTTCTCCAACGATGGTCGCATTTCTCACAATAATATTCACCAAAACAAGGCTCAGGACCACTGTAGGTTTGAAACGTGACTACAAGTGATCCTTTGTTCACAGCAGTAAACTTAAGATTTCTTTCTTTGAGAAGTTTCTCAACTTTTGGTCGGATATTTTGTTCATTCTTTATTCTACTGTGACGACCAGCTCCAACTATGATCTCAAGCCATGGTGTGTTATTCTTGATTGCTACTTCAAGATCAAAACATTCAAATGTTTCTTTCAATTTCTGGATAGCTTCGTCACCTTCACCTCTGAATTTTTTAATGATAGCATCCACCTCTCCACTGCGCTCATTTCGCCTTAGCAATTCCTGTTCCAGGATTTTCAACTTCTTCTGTTTGACACCGTTAGCTCGACAAAATTTTATGAAATATTTCACTTCATGCGCGGGAAATTTTCCATTGAGTAACTCGTATTTCAGTACTTGCTTACTTCGACCATTGAAACTCTTGCACTTATGCAGTATCTTGTTAATGTTTTCTTCATTTCTCAATCCTCGTAATAAATCCAATCTCAGCATCTCCAACTTCTTCTCATCTGCAACATATAAACCATGAAGGTCTACCTCACTTACATCTCGGTGGAAATTAAAAAACGTAAACAGTTCATCACAAGCTTCACGATTGTAACGATTCATTAGATTGCCAAAGTGATCTCTAAAATTCCTGCAAACTCTTATGCTTGGACTAGCACCACCTAAGAGTTTACCAAGGGTGGCAACTCTGTTCTTCCATTCCATGCGAATTGCGGCCGCTTCTGAAGCTTTCTTTCGATAATATAAACCACGAAGAAGATGTTGAACAACCTCTTTACAAATATGGTGGCGACTTGAGTGAACATTGCTTAGGCCAATTATGACAATATTTTCAGCTTGAATTTCTTGAATGTCAAGAAGATCTTTGAGTTCAAGAACTCGACTTATGTTATTAAGATGAGCAAAGCCAGAACCCAGCACCTCATCTTTTTTTGTATTTTTACACAAAATTAGGGTAGCTCCTGGCAGTAACTCACAATTATCTTCATTGTAAGAAAGATATTTCCCATCATCATCCCCAATTGTTAGAGGAATAAATATACGAGATCCATAAAATTCTATGAAATCAGGAATAAATTCATAGTCACCATCTTTCAAAGCTCTACAACATATTTCTTTCAACTTGTCAAAGACTTCAATTTTCTTGGCATGTGGAACAGGCTGCCCATTGTCATTCAAAATTACAACAAAATCTCTGGACCAAGGTTCTTTTCCCCTCACTGTTATTTCAAAATCAATATGTCCTGCTTCCGAATGCATTCGCTTCTTCTGGATCACCTCATTTTCACCTGACGAAAGGATTTCAAGTTTACACGATTGATGTGAGGCTCCCCAAACATCAACAACAGACACTTGAAATACACATTTGTTATATCCAGATGATGATTCATTAATTCTTTTGATTATCATTTCGGCTTGGACAGTTGAACAAGCGGCGTATCTCACACAGATTTTCTTGCTGAGTGTAAAGCCATCTTTTATATTAAAAAATATTGTAATAGTTCCGGCATTACGAGCTTTCATACTGAACTGAAGGCAGCCATTTTGTAGCTTGCAACCACGGAATTCAACATGAGAATCACTGGATAGTTCCAATGTGTGTTGGGGACTTAATCGGTGAGAGGATTCGTCCAAGATTATAGCTGTACAAGCTGTCCACTCATCAGGATATATAACACTACTCGCTGGTGTAAAAGACGATTTTCCTTTCTGGGATGAACTGAGACTGCATATGAAAGTTTGTAAAAAATAAGGCGGCTTTATGTCAGGTTGACGTGCTGTAGTGGCTGTATTGCTTTCGTATTGTGGAATTCTTGCTTTATTAATAGGTTTTCGTACCTTATTTGAGATATTTCTGATTGTCAATGTGCCATAATTTAAATCACTTGTTGAAGCTGATGGGACATGTCTGGAAGAGTTACTTTGTGTACGTGTGGAGTCAACGTTCGGTGACTTCGGTCCCAACAATCTGCTGTTTTCTTCATTATTTAAACTGCACGATGTTGACGAACGAATACAAGAACAAAAGAAGTCACGAATTCGTGCAAATATTCCCATTATTAACTTTGTCTTTGGGCAATCTTCTACAGGAGTATACAGGTCAGGAAATCTTTGTCAGTGTATATATGTCAACAAACTGAATTCATGGATATCATATAACAGCTATATACGGTAGTATACCATCGTCATCGGTTCTTCCGTCGTCTTTCTAGTTTCTATATAGACTATTGTTATGGTGCGTTATTTATGCGTCAAATATATTTTCCAATTAGGTATATTTTCAACCTTTAGGCTTCGGGTTCAAATTATATTAACGCTACCGTAACACAAATAGCATGAAACCTTATACCTTTTATATATTTTATTTACTTTCAACAATATGAATTAGCGTCTCTATAATGTTATAATAATATAGTAATCTTAATATATCAACTTATCTCTCTATTTGTTTGAGCTGAGCACAACTTTGAATCTTTATTCTTTATACTTTGTATTCCGTCTTCTTTAATAATAATTATTCCACAATATTCCAATGTTCTTCAGTTTACTTGACGAGGCTTAATTATCTAGCCTTTTAATTATATACTTCAGCCTTTGTTGGCTTATGAAGTATTTTAGCCTAAATGGCTCTTCTCACTTCACTCTCCCCTCTCGACTCTCAGGTTGTGCCCAGCTTTTATAATAAATTTTAGAGGAAGAAATCTGTAACTATGACTAATTTCCTCTACGCAATATGTTTGTCAAAGCAAGTTCTAGCAGTGTTTATCAACCACAAAACTATGTCCTGTTTGCGTGGTTTGTGGTACTAGGCGTTTCCCGTGGTTCTTTAATCTCTCTAAATATTTGCTTATTCATGCGAGGAAGGTTGCCTAAGGTCTTCCTCTTATAATTATAACAGTATACTGAATATATAGTATTGAATATAGTATTGAATATATTAAATAACATGGTATAACACTGCCATGTTACACTATATACACATACATATATATATTTATACTTCCTATTGAGTATCAGTGTATGTCCTATTGTTCCTTCATTAGTCACAAGTAAAATGACAGGTACCGGTGATCGTATATTTGACTGACAAAGGCTCGCAAAATAATAAGTCTCCTTTGGCTTTGATGATGAGCTCGATTGGTAGTCGGCATGTCTACTGATTGTGCGGGTTCGAATCTGGCAGTTTGACTGAACTTTTTACATTCAATAGAGTTGGGATTTTCAGGGTTCGTACAGCTTCGTCCGTTTCAATTTCCAAAACTTTCCATAGCCCTGACATTAAAATTTCCAAGTAATACTAAGTAACAGAAAATGATACTTTTGATTTTCACGTGTGAGGATCCGAGTGGGCATTTGAATATTACAATGAGCACAAGTGCACGATGTAAAACGCGAATAAAAACCATAGAAACAAAAATTTATAGACTATTAATAAAACCCTTTTATATTTTTTCTATGGCTTTTATTTGCTTCAAAATATGATGACTTCCCATACTTTCCAGGCCCTGGAAAACACACACCTCAATCAATTGCCAAAATTTTCCAAAATACGTAATGTATTCATGAGTCGCTTGAGTTCGCTCCGCATGACGCCGTGGAGCACTGATCACATGCTGCTCACGATCTTTTTGCCGGCTTTCACACCAGTTCATGCATATGACCAATGAGATTATGAGAATATAAGTAAATATATGCGATTACCAGCTGGAATCGTATTTCAGGTAAACGTTATTTCAGTACACGTCAGTTTGCTGTCGCACTGAGGTATTGAGAAATAAAATTTGTACAAGTTCATGGTGAATTTAGATGTATATTATTATGAAATATGGGGATATTTGATCGTATTCGCAAGATATTTTCCCGTTCCGATTCATCAAGCACAAGTAGAAATCGTTATCCTCATGAACATGGAGCACGTTTACATGGATATAATAATGAAGTAGCCACAGAATTTAACCACGTAGTTCAGCGTTCATATCAAGTTGAACACAACCGACATTTCAATATCTCTGCAAGCAGTCAAAGATCTTCGAATGTCATTGATAGGCCTTCAGCTACTGCCCCTCATCGCTCAAATACAACTTCAGTCGCGGCAAGGGAATCAAATACGTCACATACACAACCAGATATCAACTTAGAAAGAGCGAATTCATGCAAAGGATTTGCCTTACCCTTGTCAGGAAACGCAATTCATTCAGCCGAGTATGTGAAGCTAACTAATACAGCACAAAATGTTTCGCAACCACCGCGTTTAACCGGATCTCATGAAGTTCATGTCAAAGATGATAGTAAAATTTCTAATGAAAATGACTATGGGCAAAAATACCAAAGACCAAGCGAATCCAAGGCTATCTCAGCGACGTACAGCACCACAAGTGTAAGCAAGAGCAAAGCACCAGATCTCAACATTTTGCAAAGAACAACGAAGCCAGAGTGTAGAAAACAAACAGCAAACCAGAATACCTTGTCAAACATGGCCATGGGAAATGTTGACAAATATGTAAACCCATCGGAATTTGGGCGGACCACAAGACTTAAAATGCCGTCGACGTCTATTTCTACGACCAGATCAGGAAATAGAGAGTACAGGTCTACAGTTGAGGTAGATCGAAGCAGTATGTCGAAATATCTAATGCCAACCACTTCAGCAGCACAAACTGCTTCTATTAAGTCTTACAACACGCCAGCCATTTCACAGCAGGGTGCAACATTTAACAAAAACAATACAACACAAACATCAAGCAATACTAAGACTTCTGTATTTGTTTGTAGACTACCAGATCATAACAGGGGAATAGGGGCATTTGGTAACACACAACAGAGTACATCACTTAGCAAAACAGGAACATCAAGCATTACTACGACTTCTGCATTAGTTCCTTCTCTTACACTACACAAAGTAGAAAGTCCTAAACTATCGGATCATGGCAGGGGATTTAGAGAGGTATTCGGTAACTCACAGCAAGGTGTAAAGCTTAACAAAACCAATACAGCACAAACATCAAGTCATTCTAAGGCTTCTGTTCATGTTCCTCTTGTTACATCATACAAATGTGGTAGCACTACAATTCCAGATCATATGAGTGCACCTATGAATTACAGACCGTCCATTCCACAATATACACGCACTTACATTGTTGAAGACAAGTTTGTAGAAAAACCAGGAGCAAGCCTTCCAGATCCACCTGGAGTTTTGATATCTAGATTTCCCAGATTTGGTTTCTACCCCGTCAAAGGTGAGTTTATAGTTAGTATCTTATTACACTGGCCTGTAGGCCAAGTGTCTTAAATCCCTCTTTTTCTGTTTTTTTCCGTACTCGAGAAATGGAGTTTGCGTTAGCTCATTGCAGGCTCACCTCGGTGTATAGTAATAAGCTCGTATTTATGTACGTAATAGTAGACTCATGCTTGTGGTACATTTTTCGTTTATTAGCCCATACACGTGTACGCACGCGCACAATTCCAAACTCCAATGGCGACTTTTCACAAAGTGATCAAACTATATTTTACACAGTTTCGTTGAATTTTCAAAGAGTTGTGCCGGTTTCCTGTGGACATCCGTTGTGTACTTGTGTTAATTTTTGCGTCGCACTCTGGACTTTCTTGCCTGTTGAATTAATGTTTTTCTTTTTGTAATAAATTAAACAACTCGAAAACCCCAAAATTTCATAAATTTATACCCAGGAAATTTATACAATATATTGGAATATAAACAAGGACAAACTCCTAATTCCTTACGATAGTGCTAGTCAAATGTCGACAATATACCTTTAAATACATGTATTAAAATCTGCGCAGTACTAAGAATTAAGAGAATTCGCGTAGCGCTGGCCGCTGGGTGCGTACTGCGCGAAATATAATCCGCGCGAAAAGCTTTGTGGTAGCTATACTAAAGATAAAGCGTGCCTTCAAAATACCAACAAGAACTAGAACCATTATTGTATGGTTCTCATTTGCTAGACTTGCCACAAGTCGACCTCGAAGAAACGCATTTCGTTCGAGGTCGATTTGTGGCAACTGGCAAGTCTACTCATTTGCCTAATACAATAACATTTAGTTCGACGCGAATTTTAATACAAGTATGGTATCATATTTCATAATATAACAAACAATGTAAACTTGCCATACATTTTGCCGAACATGACTTCGGCCCCTTTGGACATATCTTTTTCGTAATAATATTATTGGGACCAGAATCGAAAACACTATTTATAGTGTTATTTTCAAGCTTGTGTCTTGCGATTTTCATCTTTTATTTCGGTATTTACAGAATATTTATATTTTTTAGCGCGGCGATCAAAACAACGCGCTGTTTAGGAAAACCCGGAAATATTCCTACTCTGTGCCGTATTCAAACGAAACTTTGTACATGAAAGCGCTTGAATACAAGATGTATTTTACTCACATTGACTCTGAGCAAATTCTGAAGAGTTACTAGGGCGCATTGCCTGTTAATGGGTTAATAAGAGACCAATGTCAGATGTGTTTGTTAACCCATGTACTGACAGTACTCTGCCACTAACAAGTAAAATCGTCTGGCGTTACAGTGTAAATTGGTCTGGCGTTAGCCAGAGTTAATACTAAATTGCATTGTCAGCTAATAGGTTAATAGACCTTAATGTCCACTTTTGACCCAATGGCTTCATTTTCATGTTGGCTATTTACTCGTATTCCGTGCACACAATTTAAGAATGAGTTTGTGAACGGGCTTAAATGATAAACGAGAAGGAAACATTGGGGATAATATAACCGAGAATTGTCTAGAAGTATAAATTTTTGCATTCAGTTGATACGCCATAAAGGCAGCACTTTCCTTGCGATAGTAACTCCTAGTAATAGATTTGCACCATTACGTCTCCCGAAAAGGTCTTTTATTTTTTTAAAAAGTCCATAAAATTTGCTTGCGGTTTAAGATTTGTATTCCTGCCTTTTGCACCATAGCACGTATCTCGTTATTTTCAGGCCAGTGTGAACGCCAGAGAGCAGGCGTCTTGTTTTAGTGTAGTCTGCACGCGATCCTTCAATATCATAACAGACTAAACTAGCATATCATGCGTAAATGTCATCCGGGTTGATTACTATACACATGCCCGCCGATACTTGGAAAACCTTATTCGAAATAGGGACATTCCAATTACCATAACGGTATCAAAATTTATGCTCGTCAAAATTGAAATTCAAATGCCCGTAGGCAATGAATATGTCGTTAAGAAAACATGTGAAAAGTCATGCTCGTTACCAGGTCGTCTCACAGTATAGCCGAGAAGCTCGCAGTAATATTCTAGGAACGAGATAAGAAGATGGAACAAGTTATTAACCGTAGAGGTCTCAAGATCAACAACTCCATTAATAAACATGGTACTTGGAAAAGTAATCAAATTACACCGTGTTAATTAAACATTAGTCTTGTTAAACATTCTATACCCAACCCTTCAGTACCATTACCGACAAAAACCACCAGTAGATGACCCCCGCCCATATAGGGGCCAAAGAGATGCCGCCGCGCGCTGATTGGCCGAGACTGACGAGCGTGACTCATGGTGTGACACTGTGACTTACGCATAGGCTCACACATTGCAAATATAGTGAAATATAGGGTAATACTATATAGCGGATGACTCCCCCTTTGTAAATAAATTGGCGAGACATTGATATCCACCTGACTGCGCCATGACTGAACCAGTGGCGGCGCCAGGGGGGGCAAGGGGGGGGGGGCAAATGCCCCCCAAAATTATTTTTTG